CTCAACGTAAAACCCCAGATTCAATTGCTATTGAGGAGAAAGAGGGGAAAAGAGGAGAAAAAGGGGGAGGAGGAGGAGGGGAGAAAGGCACAGAGACACACAGGAAGAATGTCACGGGCAGGTGGAGGCAGATACTGGAGTTACGTGTCTATGAGTCAAGGTTGCTGGCAACAACCAGAAGCTGACATGAAACAAATTCTTTCTCCAAGTACACAGAGGGAGCCATCCCTGCTGGCACATTTTTGGCCTTCAGAATTTGTAAGAGAATGAATTTCTGCTGTTTTAAGCTACCCAGTTCATGATCATCTGTTACAACAGCCCTAGGAAACTCTAACAAGTATCTCAAATTTGCCATGAACAGAACTGTTTTTGGTTTTGTTTTGTTTGGTTTGGTTTGGTTTGATTTGGGTTGTGGGACTAGGGATAGAACCCAGGTCTCCATGCATGCAAGGCAAGCATTCTACCACTGAGATATATCCTTAGCCCCTTTTAAAAATTTTATTTTGAGCCAGGCATGCTAGTGCATGCCTGTAATCCCAGCATTTGGGAGGCTGAGGCAGGAAGATTGCTGTAAATTCAAAGACAACCTAGGCTAAAGTGAGTTCAAGACCAGCCTGAACTGCATAGTGAAACTCTGTCTCAAAAAAAAAAAAATTATTTTGAAACAGAGCCTCACTATGTTGCCCAGGCTGCCCCTGAACTTACAATCCTTCTGCCTCAGCCTCCCAAGTAACTAGGATTGACTATAGGTCCACACATTGCACCCATCTTTGTGTCTTCAAATTTTCCATCCTGTGATGGTAAAAGGCCATTTCTTTCTCCTACCAAGGTTCAAGGGAGGCAGAGCTCAAGTTTATCCCCAAAATGCCATCATGTTACCCAACAGCTATTAGAGCTTTCCTGACTTTGGCCTCCTCTTAGACTGAGGGAGAAGTAGAAAAGACAGAAGAGTTCAAGAGAGAGAAATCTCAGGGGTGGAATCAGCAAGCTGCCGCCATCTTTGAAGAGTTGGAAGGAACTCTGCTGCTCTGTATGTCCTCTGGTCCGTGATGGTCACAGTTCCATTTATTGAGCATGTTTCTATCCAGGCACTGTGCTAGGGCCTTGATAATCCTGACGAGCACTGGCTACGGTCCGAGCACAGGGCTAGGCACCCTGGAAGCAGTGTATCCTCTAATTCTCCTAACAATTCTCTGAGGCAGCTGTTATTATTTCCACCTAACAGGAAGAAACAGTCTTAGTGAACAGAAGGGACTTGCCAGGTTGTTTCTGTGCAAAGCTGTGATCTGCCTTCTACGAGGCATTGCCCCTTTCCTAAACCTCCTGGCACCTGATTCCAAGTATGAGGTCTTGTAACTGAAGGTGTCTGGGACTTGCAGCTGTCTCTGCTAGCCAATGAGTCACAAAGGTGAGGTTCGTTGTCCTTTAAGAAATCTTTCTTCAGCCTTCCTGCAGCTGTACTTCACCAGGAGACACCAAAATCTGAGTCGTGTCTCTGGTGCTTCCTTGTAGAGGCTTTCCTTGGAATAAGACAATGCAGAAATCTGGGCTAGCCTGCCTTGGGGGCCTGTTCCTGCCAGTCACCCCGTGCAGCTGGTCTCTGCCAGCCTGGGGTACTCAGGGAGAGTGAGCGTGGAGCAAGACCCAGCAGGACCTTCTCCAACCATGGACAGGTTTGGTAGATGAAGCTACTGGTATGAGGCAAGCAGCATGTACAGAAGGGCCCTGGTGGCGGGGGTCTGGGAGACGGATGGCATGAACATCAACCGCTAAGAGAATGACTCCAAGGCCCCCTCTCAGGACAGGACAGTGGTCCTCTGTTCTGTGAGTCAGAGCTGAGATGACTTTAGTAAAAGGTCTGCGGCCCGTCCCCCTTGTAGGAGATGGTGAGACTAGCAGTGTGGGCATATCATGGTCAAATTCTTGCTTGGCAGGGATTTGGCGGCCGAAGTCAACAGCTGAGGCTGGATACCGAGCCAGGCCTGAGGGTCTGCGCAAAGTCATACATGGCACATTGGCAATGAAAACCCTTAGGGACCTGGTTTCCAGTGCCTTGTTGCAAAGATGAAGAAACTGAGGTGCAGGCAGGGAAAGTGACTGCTTATGGTCTCATGGCAAATAAATGCTTGAGCTGCCACCTCCCACACTTCTGTTCCTTCAGGTAAGAAGCCTTACCTCCTCCCTGCTTTAACACTAAGAATAGAAAATTGTATGCACGAGGGGAAGTCGTGTGAAGTCTGGCTGCTTTGGGGGGCTCGTGTGTTTGTCTTGTGATGCTACTGAAAGTCCCTGGAAAGCCAGGTTGGCTTCAGTCATGTGGATGGAATTCATGCTTGTGCCAATCACAGCCCACCTCCAAATGCAGGAGGGTGTTTCCCAAACCCTCTGGCAGAGTGTCTTTGCCTGTGATTTTCCTCTGATGATATCTTGTTTTGCCAACTAAATTAAGACTATGACAGAGAACAGAGACTACCTCTAGCAGTTTAGTTCAATTAAGATTTCACATCAACAAATTAAAATGCATCCTCACCGTCTGCAAAGTAAATCTGCCTGCATTTAGGAGAAGGCTCTGACATTTGCTGTTCAGGCACCTAGAGGGTAGGAGCTGAGTGTCAAAGAGGACCAACCGACCAACGGGAACCCATTGGTATGGGCAGAGCTAGGATTCGGCAGCATGGGCTTACAGCTTCTGGGCCAGGGCTCTCTTCTCTCGAGCATACATGTGAGGACCCATGTGAGCCTTCAACAGTCTGTTTTGTAAAATGACAGAAATGATATCATGTCTTCTGTAAGTCTAGGTTAATTCAAACTAAAGGACTGTCAAGATACGTTTCTTTGTTTTTCTTTTTTGGGGGCATCACTGGGGATTGAACCTGGTACCAGAGATATGCTTAGTAAGCACTCTACCCCTGAGCCACATCCCCAGCTGACAATTACTTTTGGAGTGTTTAATTTGTCAGTCACTCTTCAAGGGCCTGAGGGTACAGCAATGAGCAAAACAGACAAACTTTTGGATGAAGCTTTTATTCCATGGAAAAGAAACAGACAATAAACAAGACACATGAGTGCAATGTGCAGTAAGTTAGAGAACTTACAAGCAACGGCTCACAGGAAAGCAGAGAAAGAGGATGGGGACTCTGAAGGCGGAGGAGGCTGCGATTTTAAATAAGGTAGTTGGAGAAGGCCTTGATGGGAAAGTGACAACTGAGACAGGATCTCAAATGGTGGGAGTGAGGCACGAGGAGGCGGGTGTGGGGCAGCACTCTGGGAAGAGGCAGAGTGGGGCTGCCGGTGTTTGTGAAGGAAGGAGGCCAGCGTGGCCAGAGCCAAGAGCAGGAGGAAGAGCACAAGGAGAGGTCAGAGGACGTGCAGGCTGTTACAGAACCCAGTTCATCCTCTCAGGATTTGGCAGAGAAGAGATGACCTCCGTCTTCCACTGTAACAGGATGGCTGTGGCTGCCGGGACACAGGAGGGAGGAAGGCAAAGTTGGGAGCAGGGACAGCAGTTATGAGGATATTGCGGTAACCAAAATGAGATGGGGGGGCAGAGTGACAGCAGAAGAGCTGGCAGTAGAGGGGCACTGATTCAGAATATCTGAAATCAGTGAGTCCTAGAAAGCCCAGGACATGAGGTCTGTGTTCCCTTTGAGGTTTTTGTGACACACATCTGGGAAACCCAGGCAGGGACATTGTTCAGATTTGTTCCAAAAGATGAAACTTCCCCTCTATAAGTTAATAAATAATCTCAACCTCCCCCCATATATATTTTTAAGACAGCTTGGCCTTGAACCTGCTATGTAAAGAAGGCTATTCTCAAACTCTTAACCCTCCTGTCTCAGCCTTCCAAGTACTGAGATTAGAACAGTGTGCCAGCATTCCCAGGTAACCTTTATTTTGGGGGAAGGCAGGTAAGAAATGTTTTTTCCTTTGAAAATTGGAATGAGTACGTGATAGAATGCAGGATCCATAAAGGCAGAGACTGTGCCCATACCCTGTTGTCAGATATTCCCCACACTGGGATAAGGTACAGGTATGGGATACTCAAAATATAGTTGTTGAAGGTGGGTGTCGAAGATGAGTATCATTTCTTCTACATTTTAGGTAGAAGTTTTGAAACAATTTTGTCTTAAATTTTGTACTGGGACTTTAACTCATGACCTCATGCTTGCCAGGCAGGCACTGTGCCTCTGAGCTGTATCTCCAGCTGAAACAACTTTCATAAATAACTTTGAAAATGTATACCTGTCTCCCTCTTCTTTAATCCTAGAAGATGTTTGGATATGGCTTTTATTTTTCTATGAATATAAAGGACTATTTATGTGTAGATTAGGTTCTTGCCTCTGAAGATCTGGGTAACCTGGGGTCTTTGTCCTGTCCACTTGTCTGTCCTTCCTCTCATTCTTTTTTTCTTCTGTAGTCTTCACTGTGAGCTTCATGATTCCTTTTCCTCCTATTTAAAGTAGGTGAGTGAAATGTTTTTGATTTCTCTCTTCGGAAAACACAACAGCTAAAAAAAAAACCCGACAGCTAAATTAAATTCTTTTTAACTTGCGTAATTCTTATTGATTTTTTTCTATCATTGAATATCAGTATTCCTACTTTTGAGCCTGAAACATCCATGCCACACCCTGGTGAGAAGGAAAACACACCCAATGTGGAACTCTGGACTTCCCACCACTTTAAGCTTCTCCTCTATTTAACTAGCATAGTAATTTGCATAGATCTACATACGTTATGCAATCAGCCTGCTCTCCTTTTACATTTAAACCTAAAATAATTTTGCTTTTATGATGTTTTCCATCTCTGCTGCCTTCTATATTTCTTTTTGGTACTGAAATTTAGGGTTTTGTAAAAGGAATTGATGAAAGGCCAATGAGGGAGAAGGAGATTTGGGAGCTGCACAGTGAAACTGTCTCTGGGGTTCATTATTCATTAGACAGCTATTTATTGAACTCCTCAAAGTGGTAGGCCCTGTACCATGAGCTGGGAGTTACAGTCCTTTGGCCCTGAATCAAGAAAGGCAGTTTTCTGAAGCTGTTAGTTTCAAGCAGGAGCCTAAAGTGATATCTTTCTATATTCTGTTGGGCATTTCAAAACTATAGAAATGTAATGGTCAATTCATTAGGAAGAAACAACTCGCCCATGGGAGAATAAACCCTGTCCACTGCCCCACCCATCCTCCACCAGTGAGCCAGTGGGCCAGCCCTGAGGAGAGGAAGCCACACCCCTGGGTTTGAGTTGTCTCTGCCATCCCAGGACCTTGGACTGGAGGAACCCAGGTGTTTAGCCCAAACTCCTGCACCCTGGGATAAGCAGCCAATGCAGGAAACACCTGGGACTCCGCAACCCAGTGAATCCTTGAAACACAGGAAAATGTCAAAACAAAGGAGCAGGGTGCAATCTCAGACCTCCAGCCCAACCAGAACAAGTCCCGAAGACATAGACAAAAGAAATTAGAAGTCACACACCTGAAATTTCTGAAATGATAGCAACTAAAGTAAACACAACAATGCTTTATCATTTGATGATTTTTTTTTTTTTTTTTTGGTACCAGGGATCAAACTCATGACCTCACGCTTGCCAGGCAGGCACTGTGCTGCTGAACTATAGCCCCGGCCCTGGTTTGATTAATTTTGCATGCCTGTATCTCCCACAGAACAAGTCCAGGAGACATATACATAGAGCACATTAGAAGCTACACACCTGAAATTTCTTGAGATGTTGGTAACTGAAATAAAGAAACAACTTAGTGCTTGTGCTGCTTGACTGACTTTGCATGCCTGTGTCTGGTGGTCTCAGCCTCTATTTAGAGGGTAACAATGTGCATTACAGTAATTATGGTTGACTTTCTACTGTATTGTTTTTTAAATCCAATATAAATCCCATTGTTTTGTTTTGTTTTATTCTCTTTTAAAAAAAAAACTAGGTACAATCCTTACTCACATGGACCTTGTGCTCTACTGAGGAAATAGATAATAAAGAAGCAAGCACATAAACAAAAAAATGAGCTCTGGTACTGGTAAACGTCATTAAAAAAACATACTAACTGGAAGACTTGTTTACATTGGGTAGTGTTTAGAAAGTCTCTCTGGAGAAGAGACCTTCGGGCTGAAACCTAACTGATAGCAAGGAGATCACCATACGAACATCTGGTGGAAAAATGTTCCAAACAGCGAGAACAGCAAGTGAAGACATCTTGGAAAGAGAATGAACTTGGGAAGTTTGAGAAACAGAAAGGTGTATCATGTAGAATGCTGTCAGTGGAAAGAAGAGATAGTCCCAATTCAAAGTGGCACAGACAGGGCCAGCTCAGTAGTAGAGCACTGGCCTACTGTATGTGAAGCCCTACATTTAAGCTCCAACATTGCAAAAACAATGGTGAATGACAGAATTTTGTTACCTTACATAAAGAAATCTGGAGGCTATAGAGGCTGGGTTCCGAGGTTGGTTAATTTGGCAAGTCAAATTGACCCTCCTATCAAGGACCAGACTATGTCCTGTTCAGCCATCTTGGGCTGGCTCCCTTCCAGATACCAAGATGGTTGCCTAAATTCCAGTCTCCTGCACTTCTTTACCCTCATACAGTGTCCAGTGGCAGACAGGAACAGTGCAAACTCTTTAAAATGAGTCAGCCCTTCCCATAACCATGTACAGATTTCCCTTTCTACCTCACAGAATAAGAAAATTTCTTAATGTGCTCATTCCTAGGTTAGTCATTAGCAAAGAGAATCAAATTATTAAGACTGGTTTAGAGTTGGGCAGAAGAGAGACCTATCTGCTATGGAACCTCACTGAAGAACTAGGGCTTCCAATTTCTGACAGAAATCAGGCTGGATGTGGGCTGTACATGTTTATAATCTACTAGGGAGGTTAAGCCAGAGGTATCAGAGTTAAGGCCAGCTAAGGCAACTTCATGAGATCTTGTCTCAAAATAAAAATAAAGCTGGAAAAAATAAAATAAATAAAACTGGGCATGGTGGTGCACACCTATAATCCCAGGACTCAGAAGGCTGAGGCAGGAGGATTGCCGCTGAGTTCAAGGTCAACCTGTGCTACACAGCAAGTTCAAAGCCAGCCTAGACTACACAGTGAGATTCTGTCCAAGAGAAGACAGAAAAAGAAAGAAAAGAAAGCAACAAAGCCAAAAGATGAAAAAGACTTGAGATTGTAGCTCAGTGGCAGAGCACTTGAATAGCAAGTATAAGGTCTTGGGTTCAATCCCTAGAACCACAGGACAAAAGAAAATCAGGCTTCTGACAGCAGAATTAGGCTTCAGTGAGCAATGTAGGGAATGGTAGGTTGAATTAGGTAGAGGTCAGTGTAGGTAAAACACTTGTATAAGTGGGGGTTTGGAGATGAAATTGAGGGAATGCAGAATTTATTCAAATTCTTTGGATGCAATATTTAGAATTGCTTAAATCCTACCTGTACTAGAAACTAAAACTGCCCAGTCCTCATTAGACACAACTTCAACACAGACTGGTGACATTGGGTATTTCAGTCACTCTTTCATGCTGAGACACAATATATCCACAATTTAAAGAAAAAGAGATTTATTTTGGCTCATAGTTTTGGAAGTTTCAGTCCATGATTGGTGAGCTCAAACTCAGAAACAGCATGGTGGAAGGGCCTGGTGAAGCAGAAAGCTGCTCATGTCATGGTGGCCTAGAAGCCAAGAGAAAAGGGGGCCTCCTGGGAAGAAGATACACCCTTGCAGGTCATGTCTCCAAGGACCCACCTCTCCAAACCAGTCCCCGCCTCCTAACAGCACATTCAGCACTGAACCCTGCAGTGGATTAATCTGAATCTGCTGATGAATATACTGCTCTCATGATCCAGTCATCTTCCAAAAGTCTCACCTCTGGACGCACGAGGAACATTCTTGATCTAAACCATAACCGTAAGTCACTTTTTCTTCCTTAAATCTCAGTTTCATTAGCTTTAACAATGACAAAATAGCATTGTCCTGCTAGTCTTTCAGGGAGGCTGTGAGGGCTAATGAGGAGAGTATCTGCAGGTCCTTTGAAAATTGTAAGGTGCCACAGTTACTATATTTCTGTTGTCATTATCTTCCGTGAGAAACAAAGGAATTTTAGTTTGATTTGTTCTTCTGTGGTTGGTAGTGGCACTGGGCCTGCACCCTAGCACTGAGCTGCTCCCCCAGCCTGGAATTTAAAGTTTTGAGTAGTCACATCCTCCCATTCCTTGGGGAGGGACATATGACACTTTGGAAAGCTACAAGACTCTGATGGGCTATGGAAAGCAGCCTTGGTCACTCTTTAGCCTAGTGTCCCCTAGATTTTTGTCTCGGCAACCACTTAGCAGTCTTTTGTGCTTCACATCAGAGATGTCCTTGGAAACAAGGGAGGCTAATGTTTGATAAATGTACGTGAGAGCTGGCTGAGTTATTATCCTTTCTCGCTTTCTCTCTCTCTTCCTTTTTTTTTGATAAAAAGAGGGGATGTATTTTCATTTCTGATGGAGCTTTTAGCTAATGTGGGCAGTTAAGCCCTGGAAATGCAGCAGTCCATTTCACACTGAGAGGAGATCTGAGGTGTGACTGTCTCCCAAAACCCAGCCTGAGAGGAGCCAAGAACAACTGTGCCCAACAGGAGAAAGCCCCAGAAGGGTTGGGATGTAGCTTAGTAGTACAGGACTGTCTACCATGCATGAGGCCTTGTGTTCAATCTCCTGTACCTGGGGGGAGGGGAAACAAAGCCATAGAGTTTTTGTGGTACCAAGATAAAGCTGCCCTCACCTGATTTGCTGCTAGGACAAGAACGATGCTCCCTGTCATCTCCCCTCTGCTGGCCTCCAGCCCTCCTCGGCCACTCTCTTTCTCCTAATCACTCTTGTGCAGGCTGGCAGAGAGCAATATCACAGTATTGGGAGCCACATATCCTTCGTGGTTTGTCTTTGTGATCTGATTAGCTCTCTCACCTCTAGAGCCAGACCTTATCCCCAAAGAGTTGGGTCTCTGAGACCGTGAATATTAACTGCCTTTCCAAAGCTACTGGAAAAGTGGAAAACCACTCCTAATAAAAGATGATGCTCTTCTACCTTCCTTTCTCCTTCTCTTACGTTTTTTCATTTATTTCTTGCTTTTTAAATTTATTTTATTTTTTTTATTTTTGAGATGAAGTCTCACTATGTAACTCAGACTGGCCTTAAACTCACCATGTAGCCCAGGTTGGCCTCAAGGTCCCAGCAATCCACCTGCCCCAGCCTCTCAGGTAGCTGAGTTTACAAGTATGTACCATTTTGCACAGCTGTTCTTAGTTTTTTAAAATGACAAATTTGAGGCTGGGGATGTGGCTCAGTGGTAGACCACTTACTTTGCTTACACAAGGCCTGAGTTCATCCCCAACACCAAAAAAAGTAAAATGATAAATTAACAGTTCTAATTTTCAGCTCCTAGAGACAGAAAAGCAGTGATCATCCTTTACCACCCACTGCTCCAATCTAACCCAAGCCAGGAAGTCTTAAGTGGCAAGTTCTTAGAAGCAATACATTTGCAGGTAGTGTGGCTTATCTGGCTTCACATCTGCCTCCTTATATTAAGAGCAACTAAGAGGCAAGAAGGAATGGTGGCGCTGGAGACTAAACCCAATTTCTGTGTCTTCTGCAGCAGCAGAATGCCTGGGACAGAGCCTCAGATGTTTGATAAATGAAAGGGTGAATGAATGAATAAATGAGTGACTGAGTGAACAAAGACATCCCTGTGGCTTTGGTTTGTTTCTCATGGCTTTGTTTCTTTGTTCTGTTAAATACCCATAGCTCCTCTGATCATAATTTAGAAGTGGAAATTACTTCAGAGATAAGGGACTGAGGGAGGATCAGTGGAACGATAACAATCTGTTACATTATTACATTTTTTCCCTTAAACCATTTAAGCTCTAGTTTCCCTCCTATGTACTGTTAGAAGTGATCCCAAATCAGTTGTGAACCTTCTCCTACCTTGAGGGAGTAAGAAGAGAGGGCTGGGGTGGTTGTCCAAGCTTATTATCTTCTCCATAACTCAGGCGTGTTCCCCTGAGCTTTCACATGATTTTATTTTAATGCAGTTATTTGTATTAGGCAAGTCTCCAGCTCAGCCAGGCCAGAAAGGGAGGTGGGGGAACTGGGGAAGAGCTGATG